AAAAAATAATTAGTACCTGAAAGAAGGAATTATTATTAAATTATTCAAGAGAGTGGACAATGGCCACTGAATAGCCATTGTTCTAGCCAACGATGATATACAAATAAACCAACAACGAAGCATTCGCATAGTGTACAAAACACTTGAATGCAGAAACAATGAAATCTAGAGTAAAAGAAATAGAATCTGAAAGAAGAAAGATAATTAAAACCTGAAACAGAGAGAAAGAATATTAATCCGGACCTCCCAAAGTCGAAGCGACAACTGGCTCGAGCCTGCACGCGGGCCCCTTATATAGCGGCGGCCGGCCAAAGACCGGCGAAAATTTCCGAACTTTACCGATTCCTTTTAAAGTTACTTTTCCGCTGTAATAACTAATAATTTATTAACTTTTTGACTTTTATCGTTAATATACGTTGCAAATTATTTGTTATCAACGATTTTAATTTGTTATTAACAATAAATTTATTAATTTATTAACTTTTTGTAAGTTATGAATACATTTTAATACAAATACGTTGTTTGTCTAAGTAGTAGCTAATAATTTATTAACTTTTTTGACTTTTATCGTTAATATACGTTGCAAAATATTTCTTATTAACAATAAATGTAGTAATTTATTAACTTTTTGCTAATTATAGATACATTTTCACGCAAATACGTTATATATACTAGTAATAGCCTATAATTTAGTAATTTTTCCACTTGGATTATAAATTTACGTTGTGACCAATTTGTTATTAGGAATAAGCGTAATAATTTTTACACTTTTGCAAATTATAGATAAATTTAAACATTAGTATGATATTGTTCAAGTAATAACCAATGAATTAATTCTTCTCTTGTATTATAAATTTACGCTATGAACAATTTATTATTAATAAGAAATTGGATTATTTATACATTTTTATGAACTATAACTGTATTTGAATGATGTCATGGCTAAGAATTCCGTCCACTTGCCTCTCGCAGCCTCAAAAATCATCAAATGTTTAACTGAAATATCAAAAATTTACAAAATATAGGAAATATCTTAAACTTTTTGCGTAGCTCTTAGCTTTATATCGTTTGCCAAAGATTTCTCTTTGGAAAACGATACCAATTACCAGGTCTCACCACTTGGAGGTGGCTACGCATCGAGACCCGACATGCGCCCTAGTGGTGCATCCTACTGGCGCTATCCGTATCAAAGGTACCCTAATCTAACTTGGAGCGAATTAAAGTGACTCTACTGACACTTTATTTTATTTCGTGTCTTACAAAGGGAAATTCGATTCGGTATACTAAAACTCTACTGTCGCAACGCTAAGATATTTTCAAATTCCCATAAAAATAGGGAATGAAATATCAAACACATGAGCAAATAGAAAATCGCGACGCGCCCGAACGAGTTCGCGATTATTCGAAAGACCGACTAGCCTACGAGACGTACTCTCGTGTACAAGACAACTCCATACCTCGGCACCCTCCCGACCGAACCTAGCCCACCCAGCCACCACAGACCCTGCCATGACTTACTCGAGAACGAGAGCGATCGACGAACCAACGAAACATCCAAAATCAAGCCGAGGGTCCCTAGCGAGGCCCTGTAGCCGGTCACGCAGGCCCCTGCCACATGGGGGAGAACTTAATCATCCCATGGGGTCTGACCGTAGGCCCATATGCAGTGTCACGGCTACAGGACCCATACCCCGGTCGTGCACGCGCAGGTGCCCAGGACGACTAGGGCCGACAGACCCTCGAATTGACCCAGATGAGTGCCAGCCCGCCGACCACCCTAGAACCGACGCGTGACAAGGGTGGCAGTGGCGAGGGTGGGTGTCGGAACGAATCGTTTGGATGACTTACGAAGCATGGAGTTATCGAGTACACAAGAGTACGTCGCGCAGACTAGTCGGTACTTAAGAACGATCACGATTATCGCGAGAACAATTATGTTCTATTTGGTAAACGAGAGGGACAAAAGGAGTATAGAGAATTTATATATTTCGCTCCAAGTTAGGTGGCTTACCTTGGTACGGATAGCGCGCACATGATACTTAGTCTAGGCATCTATCTTATGGTTACTTATAACTACTTAGATCTAAACGCATCCCGCGTCGTCCAACGTTATCTTCCAAACCAAATCCTGAGAAACTTGAAAACCTAAAAAGAAAGTAGATAAAACTGAAAAGAAAATATATAAACCTGAAATGAAACGGATTAGTAAGAGGAAAGTACAATAAATGAAAGCGAAAAAAATATGAACCACGAAAAACGATCAAATGGAGTGAACAACCCATCGATGAGACATAAACGACCCAACGATGAGACATAAGTAACCCAACGATGAGATAAAAGAATCAACGATAAAAGATTCGAATATCATACGAGATATTCGAAATTCCGAATAAAAATAAATAGGAACAAAAAGAAAATCTAAAAAGAAAAGAAGAATTAAATTCTGAGAATAAAAAAAAATTAGAAGCTGAAAATAAAAAAAGTTAGGCCTGAAAATAAAAATTGTTAGTAAATTGTTTAAGGAGATGGGGTGAGGTGGGACAGCCAACCCCACCTCACTTCGAACCCATCCCCACTCCCGCACACGAAAAAATTTAGATGTTACACTCCCAATGCCAAACTGGCAAATGGTTTAAGCATTGCAACGGCGTCCCTTATATAGCCGCCGAGCGGCCGAGTTCCCCCACCCGATTAGAAATTTTCAATTTTATTAATTATTATTTTTTCGCTATAATAGCCATTAAATTATTAATTTTTTCACTTTTATTGTAAATATACGTTGCAAGCAATTTGTTAATAACAATATTAATTTGTTATTAACAATCAGTGTAACAATTTATAAACTTTTTGCAAATTGTAGTTACATTTTAACACAAGTGCATTATAAATGCAAGTAATAGCTAATAATGTATTAATTTTTTCACTTTTATTATAATTTTAGGTTGTAAACAATTTAACAATTTATATATGTTTTATGGAATAAAACTGCATTCGCATCTTCATAGTATAAATTTCTATGATACGTATATATATGTTAAAATATTTTTATTTCCTCTATATTTTTAGCTACAATGAGATATTACGTGAAAAGTGGAAGTTATTCGGCTTTAACAGCAACTTTGATCAACCGCTACACAATGCGAGACGAAAAACTTTCATGAGTCCAGAAAGAAACACGTAAGTGTGCGAAAATGCAGTAAGTGCGAAGATATATTGCCTTGTTTTAAAACATTCGACAGTCTTCGAGCTTCGTTATCCTTTAAGCCTTAAAATTTTCCTTAAATTCCTTCCATCAATGCCGAGAGAACTATTTCTACTAAAGGTAACCACAACTGACCGAAACTTGTTTGAAACAGATGGCGTTGCGTTTCCAGTCCAATCCTATGGGTAATAGTAGAGGGAAATCGTTCAAGAGCGCCGATGTGAAATGATACTTTCAATGTTATCAACGCACGTGCATAATGATTCCGTGTGCAAGAAATTGGACTTCTTGCAATTTTCTCTAATCAATAAACAGTGCAAATTACTAAAATTGTTCATTAGTGAATTAGTAAAAATATTCTAAACGATGCTTATCAGTATTAAGAAGTAAATATCCGACAGTAAAAGCTCTAATATAATTGTAAAAAAAAAGTTAATGGTATTGTGTACACGGAAGCAAATAGATCTGTGATTGTTGCAAAATTTAAAACAATAATGGAGTGTTTAGTGGCGAATGTAGATAATATGCGATTTGATATTGAAGTTGCTCTCGACGAGCAGTATGGAGCACTTCCTTTACCTTTTACTGGAATGGACAGTATGTGATATATTTTTATATACTTCACTTAACTAGGTTATCTTATAAAGATATAAAAGTAATTGATCAATTAAATTATAAAATAGCGCACGGTACTATTCTCTAATTTTTAAATAAAATATTTTTTATATTAAGGATCTTGATTGAAATATTAATCTTTTATTTTAAATTTATTCTATTTATTTGCCATTAATTGAACTTATCTTTGTTGATCACTTGTTTATCACAAGTTTATCACTTGTAGAATCTACTGCTGCAGTATGTCAATTTTATCCAAGAGGTACATGCGTTAAAGGAGCCTCTTGTCCATTTAGACATGTTAGGGGAGATCGTACAATTGTATGTAAACATTGGTTAAGAGGGCTTTGTAAAAAAGGTGATCAGTGTGAATTTTTACACGAGTATGATATGACAAAAATGCCAGAATGTTATTTTTATTCCCGATTTAGTAAGTATGTGTAACATATAATATTTCATTATTAATGCTTCTAAGACTGCATTTATAATGAATTTATATATATTTCTTCATGTTTTTAATATCTTTTTCTTTATCATATTACTAAGATTTCCCAGTATAGGTGTGTTAAAATCCATTATGAATTATTAGATGCTTGTCATAACAAGGAATGCCCATTCCTACACATTGACCCAGAAACTAAAGTCAGAGATTGTCCTTGGTATGATCGTGGATTTTGTCGACATGGACCATTGTGTAGACATCGACATGTTCGTCGTGTTTTATGTATGGCATATCTAGCTGGATTTTGTCCTGAAGGTCCAAATTGTAAATTTATGCAGTAAGTTATTATAGATTTAACATTATAAATACATCTGATTTTGGTTTAAATATATTATTATAATTCATTTCTATATTATTATAACTTATTTCTAGTCCAAGATTTGAGTTACCAGCAGTACAAGATATGCAACCTAAAGAAGGGAAGAAAGTAATGATCACCTGTCATTTTTGTGGAGAAGGTGGTCACAAAGCAATTTATTGTAATAAAATGCCACCTGATGTACGTGAAGCTCAAGTTAGACAAGAAATAGAAGGTAATTCCCATGCTACACATCACATGAATATGCATAATGGGCCTCCACCAAGAGGACCACAAAAGCCACTTGAAGAAGTGACTTGTTACAAATGTGGAACTAAAGGTCATTATGCTAATAAATGTCCAAAGGGTCATTTAGCATTCCTGAGTCATGCTGGAGGTAGTGGAAGTGGTACTCAAAATCAAAATTACCGCAGATGATTTCCCTTATTTTATTTCTGTAAAGTTGATATTGTGATTCTCCTTTAATTTAGTAATTCATCTGTAAAAATTTCTATATCATATAGTAAAATAAGTTTAATACTACTTATTTCATATTAATTCAAAATAAACAATTTCAGCATCTCTGAATAAAATAAAGCAACTGTTTATAAGAATCTTGTATTTTATATATAAATTTAGAATTAAAGAATATTTTGGGTTAAAATACTATCAAGTATGTACTATAACAAATTTAATTTATTGTTTAAAGAATTAAACATATTCCTAAATAGTTGTTATTACATTTTGTAAATGTATTTAAAGGGTATTTGCTAAATTATTAAATACGCTATTCCTATGAGCGCATCGATTTTCGACATAGAATGTTATAAAAAGATATATTTGTTTATCGCTAATTTATTTAGTTTGTGACGCTGAACATGGGAAGACGTACTTCGCCATTTGTATATGAAGTGGCATTGTAAGACTATTAATTTTTAAAATCTTGTTCGCTAAAATATTAACAATGTTTATCTTTTATGTGATTATTATCAGAAGTATTAAATTCCTTCATTATTGGATGTGCATTTAATACTTGAAACATAAGTTATCCTTTCACTTTAAGTATGTATTATTTTTTTTATATTCTTCGAAATACGTCGCATCTAAACACTGTAGGTTATTATTAAAAGAAAAGTGCAAAGTCATCAGAACCATGAAAATACTGAATGTCACTTTTTATATGCAAAAAAGCAATATGGTTTCCTTTTAATCGGGAAAAAAGATCGTCTATCTGTACAAGAATGTTTCTTATCATGTGTTGTAATTAATAACTTCAACATAATTAGCAGGAAAAAGTCCATAAGTACCGTCGGGACCAAGACCTTGCCACCATCCTTCATCAATAGTATCTATATGCGTAATAATATCTCCAGGATCAAAAGTTATTTCTGTATCATCAACTGCTTGATAATCATACAAGGCTCTTGCTTTCATTCCTTCATTATTTGGATCAAAATATAAGTACTGACCATCCATTTGACTGTACAACTCATTTTCCGTAACTACTTCTTTTGTTACTGACAGTTGCTCAGATTCTTCCACTGATTCTGACACTGTTGACTCTTGAACTTCATTTGTACTTGAAGATGTATTTGAAGCGGCGGTTACTACATCGAAGTTATGTGTTTTACTCGCTTCTATTTTCACTTCTTCTTGCACGTTAGTATGAGTTATTTCCTTTTGCTGGTTTTCCTCAAGTGCCTTTTTAGCTGCTTCTACGTGACTATTTTTCGGTAAGTATTGTTGCTGTACTGGAGAAGACTTCATTTGACCAGCTGCCGAATTCTGTTCAAAAACAGCTCTTGCATTTATTGTTCTTTGAGCTATTAATTGTTGTGTCTCTTTGCTTCTTTGTCGTCGCAATTCTTCACTTCGTGATTTATGATCATCCTCGACATCATTACTATAATGTTGACTTGCGGCTAATTGGTTACGTAAATTGTTCGCCTCCTCGGCACGTTGTTCCGCCAATTTCTGTCGTGCTATTGAATTTTCCTTGGCAGTGACCTATAAATGTACAAAAATTTTTTAAATAAAATATCCGTTTTTAAATATTAAATATAACAATGTAAAATGTATTTACTTGTTGTTCTCTAAGTAATGTTTCCTTCTCTTCCCTTGTTCTAATTTCTTCCTCGAGCCGTTGTCGTTCTTTTTCGCATTTAATGCGTTCTTGTTCTAATCTTTTCTTCTCTTCCATTTCTTCCCTTTGCCAGAATTGATCACGTTCTGTAGCATTTATTTCTTGTTCAGGAATTACTCTACAATATATAATTCCTTTGAGTTGAAGATCCTTAAATCTTTATAATTAATATGATAGATATGTAATAATACAGTATAATTTGATACATAAACATATACCTGCGATATGTGGTACCCACTGGACCTGTATTACCTTCATTTTCACCACGTGGTTCATTAAATTTGTATGCTGAAGCTGTTGCTCTAGCAAGTTTCTCCATAACAGAATCCACTTCAACATCATCTTCGGAACGTGCAGTAATTGTTATATGTGCACCTTTTAATAATTTTTCCACATCTCTAATATGATTTGCACAAGTGCCTTTTCTAACAATTGGTGCTCCTTCTCCTTGCTAAAGTATGTCATTTTATTGTATTTATGCAATTAAAATAATAAGCTATTAAATGTAAATTCTTACCCAATTTATTAAAAGACATTTTGGCAGACTTGTTTTAGTATCTATCACACGACAGAAGGCATACATGATATGACTACTATTTAAACGGTCAATCATTTCTTCTAGACCTCCATCTCCAGTACCAACTACTTTTAAGTTGTTAGTTTGTCCCTCATATCCAAACAAGGCCCTATAAATAAAGATGCCTTGATAAAAATATGCTTTATACGAAAATAATTTTTTAATTAATGATAAAAATATATGTTAATAATTGCTAGAATTTAATAAACATTTTTATTTTTCGAGATGAATATTCTTTTTTTCTATTTTCTGTTCATACAATATTACGGATTATTTGCTATATCATTGCAGATGCTAATTATATATCTTGCACTATCTACATCGATCAATAAAGATAAAAGGAACAGTTACTAGATACATGAAATAAATTTATTTTATATAATTTTGAGAATTTAATTGAACATTCGTAAATCTTTAAGATATAGGATTCATATCAACGCATAGCCGGGATGATAAAATATAACATAAAAGAAAGAGATGCAAGCCTACCAGTTAGTAGACGATTTATCGTCGACTACGCTGTGCCAGGCAGCCACCAAAGCGTCTTTATTTTTTGTTAAATTAATTGACATTTTTCTCGCTCAGTTCATAAAAAATCAACCATAACAACAAATCCGATCAAGTTGCTACTGGCGAATTAATGTCACAGATGCATCTTCACGTTTTGCCTTTTTGATTAAATGTCAACGCCCTTCTGTTACCAACCGCAAAACGATGATCTTATCTGTATAGGTAATATATTTAAACCGATCACAAAAAGCTAAATGAACTTATATTTAAATCGCATGAATAAGCACAAGATTTGACGTATGTTAAAACATATTTTAACAAAACTTTATTGATGAAATTCTTCAAGACTGTTCTACAAAGAACGATTGATTGCGTATACGTACTGAAAGAGACCTCCAATCAGCAAAAGTAACACGAGCAAATAAGGGATAAGATACAGTTGAAATATTTTATATAGTATAAAATAATAAAATGTTATCTTGATTCTTATCTTTAATTTAAAATATTATCATAGAATATATAAAGTCATTGTTAACTTAAATAAAAATTTGTGGATTAATGATATTCATCAAATAAATATTAAAGTCAGTTTTGTACGAAATAAACTTAAATTTATAACGTGTATAGTGACACTTCCAAACAAATTGTCATAACAGCGATTTTGTGCCGGTAATTAAAACGGATATAATCTTTAATTTAAACAATCTATTGTCATTATGTTTAACAAATAATTTGACAAAAGATAGAGGACTGAATATTTTTAGTTTTTATAAAATGGTAAGTTCATCGTTTTTTGTTGGCGGGTTAACCTTTATCTTCTTTCATGAAAAATAACTTCATTTTGATATTTTTATAGTTGTTTTATTCGTTCTTCAAGTCCTTAATTGGGAAGGACGTAGTTGTGGAATTAAAAAATGACTTAAGGTGAGTTGACTAGGAAAAATTCTATTTTATGTTTCATAAAATCACCTAATAAATATTTTTGTATTTAGCATTTGTGGCACTCTGCATTCAGTAGATCAATACCTAAATATAAAGTTAACTGATATAAGTGTAACTGATCCAGATAAATATCCTCACATGGTTTGTAATATTTAAAATTTTTACAAGCTTGATAAAAAAGTTAATTATAACAAATAATAAAAATATGATGTCTTTCAGTTATCTGTAAAAAATTGCTTTATTCGAGGATCAGTAGTACGTTATGTACAATTGCCAGGAGATGAAGTGGATACTCAGCTATTACAGGATGCTGCACGCAAGGAAGCTGCAGTACAAGCAAGATAATTCACATTGTTATTAGATGTAAAAATATTGATTTATTTTTTACTATTGAAATTAAATAATTGTGTACAATGAACATACAAATTATAAACTTATGTATCTATAAGTATGTAAAGTGGGTTTACATATAATATTAAAAGATTAGTTTGTAATTATAAGAGTTTTTTCAAATTATTCTTCATTGTGTATACTTCATACAAAAAGAAAAAGAGCATTAATCATAAAAGTAATGAAATTTACAAAAAATTGTGAAATATTTAATATGGATCAATAAGTAAAAAACAAGAATTTTTTAAAATATTTTCATGATCATTTGTTATTGCACATTTATTCATCTTTTGTCCACTCCACTAATGTCTTGTCATACCAAATATATTTACCCTTTATATCTGTATTCTCTGGTAGTAATGCACAGAAAACAGGAGCTTCAGCACCTTGATCTGGTGTCAAATTACCTTTGTAACTACTCATATCAGTAGCTACATAGCCAGGGTGTACAGAATTTACTACCAGATCTTCTCTAGAATCTGAATTAAACATCTTTTGATGAACTCTAGCTAAAGCAGATACTCCTACTTTACTTGCAACATAAGCAGAATTTGACCATCCATTCTCTAAATGTTTGTTTGCTTTTGCAGCACTGAAAATATAATTAAAATTTGAAATTTATTTTTTAAAATATAATTGACTGCAATCTAACACATTTTTGTAATTTAACATACTTGACAAATTCATGCATGATTTTGTCCAGTTCTTCTTCTGTAAGATTTGGATCTGTAAATCTTTCTCTTAATTCTTTACTAGGAATAAGCGATAAACGACCACAGGAACTTGATAAATGTACTACACGTGCATGTGGTTTCAGTAGTGGATAAAGTTTGCTGCATACTTTTCTTAAACTAAAGTAATTTATTTTTAGAGTCTCTTCAGCTTGTACAGAAAATGGTTCTGATGCGGCCATCTATATATTTAATAAAACATATAAAATCCTTCAAAAAAGAAAGTTATTAATAAATGAAGTTATGACTACCTTAAATGCAATAGCAGCATTATTAACTAATATATCAATTCCTTCGTAATTTTTTTCTATATAATCACGAAAAGTTGAAATGCTATTTTCATCACTAACATCAAGTTGATGAAATTTTGGTTTCAAATTTTTCTCTTCAAGCTGTTTAATAGCATTCAATCCACGTGTAACATCACGAGCTGTTAAATATACCACCCCATCAAATTGTTTACAAAGTTGTTTTACAATAGCAAATCCAATCCCTTTATTTCCACCAGTTACCTAAACGGTCGATTTATTAAACTATATATAATATGACTGTACAAATAATTAAAGTAATAAAATAATGTAGAATTTTCATACTTTATAATTTATAACATACTTACAATAGCTAAACGTGTCATATTTAATATTTTAAAACGAGTATTTTAGACAATGAGAAGTAATAACTTAAGGTTATACAATATTACACTAAATACTCCCATTAACTGGTTACCCTATATGCTATAGTAGGAATAACTCAAATGATATAGTTACACACGGTCTTATAAAAATTTTTAAACTTTATCATGATTAGATTTGTTTATTTTTTATGACAAATAATTTAGTAATATGGATACATTTGTATTATAAAAACAGAAATTAAAATATTTAACAATTTAACAATTATGAATTGAAATGTTAAATAATGCTTTATTATGAAAATAATAAAATTTTTTTAATTACTAAATTACTACTAAGTTACTACTTCTAATGTAGCAATTCTATATTGTCTTGTCTGAATATTTCTAACAAGAACAAAGGTGTGTTTTTTATTAATCAATTCTAATAATGAATTCAATGTTACGTATCCGAAACCTATACCCTTTCCTTTTGTAAACGAAAAATCACCCAGTGTTACATAACCCATAATTTCTCTATCACAAGAATTCCGTATATTAGCACAATGTGGAAGACACAATTGTGACATTTTTTGCGATTGCTTGTATACGGCTTCACGACTTCGTTTTAGTAAATTTTTGGATTTGTTATCATAATTAAAGATTTCAAGTTCTTTGTTTAACACCTTGCTTAATTTATTACTTAGTGCTTTTTTGTGGCGTATTCTTTGTCTTTTTAATCGTTTTAAAAAAGCTAAATGGTTCTTACGCGATATTTTTCGAATAATTTCGTTCGGGTCAACATTTAATTTCTCTACAGGACCGGACCAGTTTTTATTATTTTTAAATTTTTCTATATCTTCATCACTTGGTATACATATTATTGCAAATCTTTTAGGGCAGCCCTTTTTTATAATGGACACTTTAATGCGAATTAAACAATTTCTGTTCTCAAATGCATTTTGCACAGTAAGACTTGGTACACGATTGCTTGGTGTATTATATTTTCTTTTATTAACTTCTTGAACTAAGCTTTCTCGCAACAATTTTGATAGTTTACGATTTCGTAATACAAAAAACTCTTCTGTAGCTGCCCATTCTTTCATTAAGATTTCCCATTCACAAAAAAAGGGACTACGAATTCCGAGTTTAATGAAATTCACGCGCCTATTTGGTGGATAACGAAAATATTTTTCTCTTAATTCTAATTTAGTGTTTAATGCTTCTCTTGCATAAGCAGGTGTATCTGGGTCATTGATATCAGGTGATTGCATATTTTCATATTCAAATGCTATGGATTTTGATTCTCTGAGTACACCAACTCTTACGCAACGAAATATACAAGCAAGCCAAAATGGCAATGCCCAGTTGGATGGAAGAATAATATCTATTCCAGAACTTAGACCTATAATAATATATTTAATAATTTGTTAATCTCGTTAATACTATCATTGATAAAATAGAAATGTCAATAATTACCTGTATTACCAATTCCAGGTTTCTGAATTAATAATATAGGTACCTTTGCTATGATTTTTTCATTAAAATATTTATCATTGTTTAATCCAGGTACTAAGCATTGACTTCTTAGTTTATTAATTGCACTTGTTGTTACACATATTTTACTGACTTTCTGTCTTATCTTTTGTTCCCAAATTGGGCTAAAATTTGCATTTACAGGAGGTACTGACATTATCTCAGTTGTTTCAGTTCCTTCTTGAGGCTTGGTTCTTTTATCAGGTAAATAAAATCTTGGATCCAATACCGTGAAGCCAAGAACAATATTTGGTGGCAACTGACTAGGTGACTGTAATGTTTTTAATACTTGCCATAATTGTTTCTGTTTTTTCAAAGATTCAAGATTTTCTTGATTATCATAATATTCAATATGCCATGACATATCAGAATTCCGATCTTCCTCACAATCCATTTGATTATCATCTAATTGCATTGTATCTAATTTCAATCGAAATATTTCATCAAAATTTGGTAAATGAAGAACATTTGTTAAAACATTTATTGTTAATGGTCCATAAAAACGAAACCGATTGAAAGTATTCCTATGAATATTCATCTTACAACGTTTTTCATTAATATAAAAAAAAGATTCTGAATCTTGATTATTCGTAGAAATAGAATGATCATCGCTCAATTTAAATTCAAAACTAGAAATTATTTCCGTGATAAAATCATCGAGAAACGATGGATGCACCCAAATCCATATGGTTTTTACAATAGATTGATTTGGCCTCCATAAAAAATTTACGTAACCAATTGGGTACTTAGGATAACCATTTTTTTTAAAAAACATGATAGTCCCTTCTCGGGTACCTGATGTAAAAATTTTCGCGGCAAATGTTAATTCAAATGGATTGCAGTGACTTTTCAAAGATTCTTTCAAAATATCTTCAGGGCCATTTATTTCGACACATCTATAATATGAAATATCTTGCATTAAGCAGTGTTTTGCTACTGCACGATAATTGGCTTTGAAACATTTATCGTTCGCATAACTTGCGATTCTGTAACCCCATTTGTCTATCATATGAAAACGTTTCGCATGCCAAATATGCGTTTCTAACCAAATTTTACTTTTTTGCCTTCGTTTATATTCTGCGAGTAAATTTCGTGGTCGCCTTCGATATTTACGTGATGGTCTTTTAATTTTTGGCGGAAAACCGGATTTGGTCATTTGATTTAAATGTGCCTCCTGTAATCTACGCGGTAAACGCTTGACATTATGGGACATAACGCGCCTGCGCATGTATACAGGCAGTTTTTGAAATACAAGTTTTGTTTGTTGAGGATTATCTGCAAATACATTAATTAGTACTAATTTAAATGTTAATTTACAATTTGATCGATGTAATTTAATACACTGATAAAAAAATGTTTAATTTATTAAATATACTTATTCTTCACATACCTATAGAATACGTCATTGCAGCAATTTCGCTAGCTCTCGCAGAAACAAGTTTCATAATATGAACTTCATTTGGTAATTGTTGCGATCCACCCAAAAATTCATCGAATTGTTCTTTTTCCGCCATTTTTTATGCACAAATAGGTCTTTTCTTATTTAAGTTTAAATCTTCATTTACAGCAAGGAAAATCGGTATTCTTATATTTATTATTTACAAAGAATAGATATTACATAAAGTATTATATATAAAGTATTATAAACATCTTAAAGACACGTATATATAGTGAGCATAGAAGTAATTCTTAAATATATAAGTTATAATATATTATACATAGTTTGACATCACTTTCGTTCTTGATAAAACGCACGTGTCAACGTTCACTTAAAGCATAGTTAAAAATACTTCCACTTGAACACAGAAACGCTGCTGAAGTTCGAATTAGCCAAAAGTACTTTACGTATGTGCCTGTAGGGGGCACCTTTCGAGTCAATAAGAATTGGACTTAAGGAAAACGAAATCGTAATAATTATTTGTCAAAGCTTGTACTCAACACGCGTTAACCGTGTTACATTTGAAATGTTCAGTAACCAATAAGGAGAAGGTTTCGTGGAACGATACATCAAACATCAAGAGTTTCATTGGCCCAGCGAATTCTATATGTACGGGGAGAATATCTAAAAGTAGTGGAAATCGAATACGTGTACTATGTGGGAGTTTGCCGTTGGTCTACGATCTATACAATTACTCCCGTCCAATGATGCTCAATTTGCCTACTATTTGCCAGTTAAATGTTCAGTGCGATCCTTCTGCTAATGTCAAGACCCGCGCCGTGAAATAGTCGCCATCTTTGCGACTGAGTCGCATCCCTCAATTTGGCCCGTTGTATGTTCCGCGCAGCTTTATGTAGTGTCAGAGAAAAAAATCATTGAAAGTTGGTGTCGAAGGAGCAAAAGGGTTCAGGGAGACCAAATAGCGTTCGAGCTGTGTCGAGAGTGTAGCCCAGCGCAAAAGTGGGCGGAACGCATGGGTCTTACGTTCATTTGGCCTCGCTACAGTACGTGATAAGGAAATTTCGGTATTTGACAAGTGACATCGAATTCGTGTTAATTGTTCGCGAGGTGACAGTACATTAACTCGTATAATTCATCCGACCGTATACCGGCATATGCCATTATAGTGTGTGTTTGTTCGAACATCGTTTGGTGTAAGAAAAATGAGTTGTCAACGTAACGCTGGCAAGATTACAGTGCCAGACGAGTTGCGGGACGTTTTGTTGGAGTTTACGATCAGTTATCTGTTGGAGCAACCAGTGGATATTATCGACTATGCCGTCGGTTTTTTCACGCAACTTCGGGAAAGCCGTCAAACTCAGTTGATTCAAGCCCCTGCGCAGACCGGCTCTTCTACGCCGGACGAGTCTGTCGATGAAGGTAAGCCAGCAAATTTTCATTCGGGATGCGACTTCCCATCGCGTCAAGTATTCCTCCCGAAGCCGTGCGGTATACCTGTTCACAGAGACTCTGAATGCGCGTTAGTGGGTTATTATTTCGATATCAAAACCCGATCTTTGCGTTTGTATTTAAAATCAAACCGGTGTGTCAGTGATTCTTCGCGACTTTGTGGAAAAAAAATTTGCATATGTGCACAGCAATGGAAACCGGTACGATTTTTCCCGCTTAATTCGCCCTTTTCTTTTCTATGCCTTTTTCATCCAACTTGTAACTCGTAATTGATTTTATTTTTCATATTTAATTTATTTTCACTTGCAAACTAATAAACGGTGAACGAATACTTCGAAAAAAAAAAAAGATCCATGTATTAAAAAGAATAACACCGTGTTATTTTAAAATCCTACATTCAAATCTGTTTCCACTTCTTACAGAACCGCCAATCGGAAGGTTCGCATCGAGGAGGAAGAGCGAG